ACGGAGTTTGTGCAACAACTTGTATGTGTATAAAAAAGAAATATATATACTGAACAAACTCAATTCAGATAAAACACGTTGACAGTTAAATCCGTTGTGTAACAAAACACCGAGGCGATATTTCCAACGGTTCCTCAACGAAAATCGCTCCCGCAGGATCGATTGAACAACGAAGAGAATTTACTTTAAAAAAAGTCTATAAAAAGTGCGATCGCATTAAATATTAATGGATTCCGTAGATATTTTTTTTATTTATATGATAGGATATTACTTTGACATTTATGTATATATCAGAGCATAATTATTATCTAGCAAATATATATGACATGTAATGTTTTTAAATAAATTGGTTTTAACTTTTTTTTGTAATAAGAGGGAGCAAACGAGTGGCGGAAAAACTTAAACATGGTTAACCTACACACTTTAGAAAAAAAAACAAAATGTACGGAAGGGAATAGAGCAAATTAACGTAAAAATTAACAGGCCAGTTAATGCGTTTACTAAAAGACAATACAACATAGCAATAACCGCTTCAATGCTTATATGGGTGATTATCGAGTTGGTAAAAATGACCTCACCACTGAACCCTAAAAAACATCTACAAACACCAGCACAAAAGACATTTGAAGACCATAAACCTTCATACACAGTGTAGATCTTATTATACTGGTTATGTAAAAGGTTGAATATTGTTTTAAGAAATCGCTTCAGGGTTCTTTGTTGAGCCCGGCGCGATAGATTCCCTGATTGAAATTTGTTTCGATACACTTTGCCTTTATTTTATACGATGGGTCGCGCAAATACACTTTTGTTGTCGTTTTTTTATTATTGAATTTAGGAATAACATGTTTTTCGATCCGAGGAATAAGTTTTATCAAGTTATTTGTATATCGCTTATTTTATTACATTTTCTTTTACTAAAATACCTTTTTATTTATAGGGTTTAAGGTTATTATAGGACTGACATATTCTTAGCAACCAAAGTCCTTATCTTCTATACTATTATTATAAAGAGGAAAGATTTTTGTATTTTTTTTTATAACATAAGGTGGCAAACGAGCAAGCGACCATCTGAATCCACCAAAATGGCGAAGCGACTGCTGCCCATAGACATCCGCAATGGCAGATGCGTTGCCTACCCTTATCCGACGGAGAAGACGCACATAAAAAGGATATTTCCCCTTCCTATGCATCTCCTCCACTGTCAAATCCACTTCCCCTTCCCATCCTCTCCTTATGAGAAAAGGGTGGTATCCTTACTCCCGTAAGGGACTTAAATTAGGCCTCCGGAACTCCAGGTATTTTGAAATAACTAAAAAAAACTGGGCAGATTTTGAAATTATTTCAGCATTAGAAAGGAAATTTATCTGTGATCATAGGCTATATTTTATTATATCGAATGTTGAGGACTATTAAAAAAATAAAGAAAAAAAATAGTTGTAATTTTAATGATTATTTGTCGTTTGTTAAGATTTAATCTTCAAAAACTACAATAAAAATATAATCACAACCAACAGGTAATAAATGTTCGCTAAAAGTTGGCTAAAAATATCTCAACAAAATTAATAACCTATAAAAAATTCGTTTGACAGTTTCCCGCCCAAAGTGACAGCTGCGCGCGCGCGGGTGGCATTTCCGATATAATCCGCATAATCCGTTCTGTTTAGTTAACTAATGAGCCCTCTTCGAACTTCATCTGCATGCAGATTATAAATTATGACGTCATAATCCAAATCAGCAAAAACTATTGACACATGGAAAAACAACTTAACTTTTTTGTTTTTATGTGTACCAGATGGCACAGGAAAATGTTTGCTTTTTGACAATTAAAAGCTGATCAGCCTTCAACTAAACTATCGCACAACTGTTTAGTCCCGCTTTGATTTCTATGAGCTTATAAAATGCGCACACTACTCGATTTTTAGTTCTGCAAAACAGTTGAATTGGTTACGAAACAATCGACAATCGCATAGTTATACGATAGTTAATTCAGAGGTGTGATGTAAAGCGCGTTAAATTCAAGCAATGATCGAAATTTCTTTTTTTTACGTTAAATTAGGCAAAGGAAAAGCTAAAGACACCTAAAAGTAGTTGACAAATGTTCACAAAACCACTAACCAAATGATTCTCAAAAGCTATTTCCGTTAAATTGTTTTTTTATTTACTTTTTTCACAAACACGTGACAGCATGACAACGTCAGATTGTAATTGAGTTAATGACAGAACGCGTTCGGAAACGCGCCAGATTAATAGGATTGTGGGAAATGAACGCATCCGAAAAAAAGATACGACGATTGTTATTTTACACGTTTACGTTTTTTGTTTATGCTATTTCGGTAACGTTAATTAATAAATTGTTAGTAACGTCTTATATCTTTCATCTCTTCAAATATGGGGATATATAACGGGATATTAATAGTATTTTTAAAGTGAATTCTATTTTGGTTTTGGCTGTGAATCTTTAAGGCTAATTAATTAATTTTAAAGCCTTTTTAATTGTTTTTTTTATAACATTCAAATGTTTAACTTTTTAATATCGTGGCTTATACCAGTGTTTCTCAAACAGAGCGATAACGCCCCCTTGAGGGCGTTTGTAACCTAGAGGGGGCCTTATAGGTCCCCAGAAATAATGGGGGGAGTTGATATGTGTTGGGGGGCAATGTATAATTTGTAATTTTATTTATTTTACATAGTATTTTAAATTTCACTATAATTGTATAAAAATGGGGGCGCTAAAAATCGTTGATTTTCAAAGCATGTGGTAAAAGAAATTAGTTTTATATACTTTGCTAATACATTCGTCCTGCAAAAATTCAATATTCGTCTCGACAAAATAAATGTACTTACCTTCCCTTTCATTTCAAATGCTTATATAACATTGAACATTTCAAACTACATTTAATTTATTGCGCAATGATATTAAAAATAAAATGATTCCTCATTTCGCTGACGTCATCGCGCCTTTGTGATTTACACGAAACAATAGAGCACACGTTGTTTATTTAGTTCTAAAGTTTACGCCGCAGTTCATCAAATCATAACTCAAAATTGCTTTAAAGCATTCCACTCATTGTATCGGCAAATCAACGTAACACAACTAAAATATGATTATAAAAAAGCAATAAACGGATAAAGCAACCTAAATATAAGTGCATTAGTTTATTACGCATAGTACAGTCGTTAACAAAATTGATTCTGTTACAGAAATTTTACACCAATTTTTTTTATAGTATAAGGTGGTAAACGAGCAAGCGGCCACCAGAATCCACCAAAATGAAAAGCGACCGCCACCCATAAACATCCGCAATTACAGATGCGTTGCCAACCCTAGATTGACAAAGGATGAGACGTACATAAAGAGGACTATTCCTCTTCCTATGCCTCTCCTCCACCGTCAAATCCACTTTTCCTTTCCATCTTTTCCTCTTAAGAAAAGGATGAATAGGGAAAAGGATTAAAATTAGGCCTCCAGCACCACACTTATCAGACGAAACGCGGAATTACTTCCACTTCACGCCTGTCTTCTGTGGTCGTGGTATTACACTGGGCGAGCCGGCCCATTCGTGCGGAGATGTTAAAGCGGACTCTACCACTATTATTTGTATTTTATATAACATTTTTACAACATTGATAAAAGAAACTATGATTATCTATTTTTTCTTTATTCATTAACAAGAAAAATGTGATGTGTTTAATATTAAGAAATTAAAACAAAAAATATTATATGAAAAACGAATACGATTTTCGGACAAAACTTCTTAATTATTCTAATCAGTTATTAGATGTGCAATTTTTAATTTAGCTATAACAATTATTTAAATACATCGATTTCGTAAACATATCCATTTAAAAAAATAAATTGAAATTACAGGTTTATTATAAAGAAATCTTTATCATAACGCTTTTGTACGCGAGCGTACATCTGTCATCGCCTGCACTTAGCGCGCGAACTGCGCACGTTCGGAAACATTTTAGCGAAACTTTCGATAATAGTTCCAAGATATATCCGATTTGTTCACAAGTTATTAATAGCTGTCAAATTGTTAAAACGGCGCGAAAAGATCGGCCGTCGACAGCTTTATACTCTACCATTTTGGAGTCCATTTAGTAAAAGCAGATAAATATTTATCGCCCCCGATAACTCCGCGTTACGAGATGATGAACGTTTATTTTAGTAGCTGAGAGCTTTCTTAGAATCCCGCCGGTTGTAAAACATAAAAATTAATTATCTGTTGTAATTCGGTTTCTTTAAAAATGAAAGGTTAAAGCGAAAATGACGGCTAAAAAATAAATTACATTTTATTGATTTATAGAACTCGTTCATCTAGTACGGGAAATAATAACCTAAAACGGTATAGTTTAGTTCGTTTTATTAAGCTGTGAATGATTGCATTTGATAAATTAGGAAGATCTTTTTAAAATGGATTGATTCTTCTTCAATAAAAAACAAAGTCAACTGTTCTTAAATGAAAACATTTTTTAGAAATTATGTCCGTAAGTGCACAACTTTGAGGTCGCATTTGTTTTGTTCCATGTAATTTCCGAAACAGCTGGACAGATTTGATTGGAAGGTTTGCGCTAACGAAATCGCAGGACACAGTTGTAAAATATATTTTGAAGGGGAATAAATAAATAAATAACTCAAACTAATACACAAAGTTGTCCTTAATTCTTACAAGCTGGATAAGTTAAAAAGATACATAAAGAGTAATAGATTTTTATTGTATTTCATAAACCCAAATTTAAAGTTATCACTTTTGGTACCAGCAGTGCCATCTAGTGGTAAAAGGTTAAAACTTTTCTACAACTAGCCCACATTTTGGTTTTAAATCAGCGCCCTCTATTACAAAGTCTTGTAACCAGATTTCGTTTTCAACCACAGATTATAAAAAAGGAAGTAAAAGCAACAACTCCAATTGCGGATTTTAATTATTTTTAAATCATTTTAATTGAATTTTTAACATAAATTATTTAAAATACATGATTTAGTTTAAACGTCTTGCAATTATTAGTGTTAAATTATAGTAACGGAACGTAATCGGAAATCAGAAATAACTTGTCGCAAATCCACCATTTTCCCTTTGTAACTAACCGGTGTTCAAAACACGTGCGTACGATCAAGTTACATGTTAAGCCGACGCGTTCGTGATTAAAGTAATCATAAAAACATAACTAAAAGTGCGTCGCGTTTTTCTGTGCAGGTATTACGTGTTAAAACAGCAAAATGAACACCGAAAAACTGAAAAAACTGCAGTCCCAAGTTCGTATCGGCGGCAAGGGTACACCGAGGCGTAAGAAGAAGGTTGTACATGCGACCGCAGCCACAGATGACAAGAAATTGCAGTCATCACTAAAGAAACTATCAGTTAACACTATCCCCGGCATCGAAGAAGTGAATATGATAAAAGATGACGGCACAGTTATTCATTTTAACAATCCAAAAGCACAGGCCTCATTGGCGGCCAACACTTTCGCTATTACTGGCCATGGTGAAAACAAGCAAATCGCAGAAATGCTTCCGGGTATCCTCAGCCAACTGGGGCCGGAAGGTTTGAGTCAATTGAAGAGGCTGGCGTCGAGTGTAACGGCGCCAAAGCCATTGGACGAGGATGACGAAGTACCTAACCTGGTCGGCAACTTTGACGAAGCTTCCAAACAGGAGGCCAAAGAGGTTATAACCGAGGAGAAGGAGGAAATAATAGAACCGGAGAAAGAGAAGGTTCCAGAAACTCCCGAAACAGAAACCAAAGCGGCCGAGAAGAAATCCGATTAAATAGTCCCTCTTCAAAACTATAGTTTTTAATTTTGCTCACCCAAGTGACAAGGGTTTCCAAAGTTGAGCGTTTGTCAGCGAAATAGTTTATTCAGAATTGAAATTAAGCATCTCATTTATATATAATGTGGTGTTGGAAAGTGTGCACCTTTTTTTTGTTAATTAACTTTGGGAATCCAGTCTCCCGCTGGGTCCCAGTCACTCCTGCGCCTTCACTAACATACATGTGACACTTGCATGAGAATATTCTCATAATTTGGTATTTAGTTAAGTGTTTTAATACATATTGTTGACATAAAGGCAGTATATGAGCATTTAAAAACATTACATGCATTATTTTTACAATATATGAAGGAATATATTTATAGTAAAATAGGTGTTTGATACGCCATGTAATATTTTTAATATTGGATTTTCTAAAGTTGTTAATTCATGAATTTGAAGAATTGCTTTCTCATAAAGTTTAACATTAGGTGAAATTAGTCACAAGCTCTGCAGAGTAAAACAATGTAGCAAAACATTGTTTTGATTTAAATATAATTAAAAATGTAAGATTGGAGTTTACATACATAAACTTTAGTCGTTAACCTTGTGTTTTATTTCATTAACTATGTAAAAGAAACTAACACCCAAAAAACTTTTATGTTTTAATAGCTTTTGCTTCCTCTGTATAGAGGCCACTTACTAATTTTTTGACCAACTTCCCAAAAGAAGGAGGTACTCAATATGTCTGTTTTTTTTTTTTGATTCTACTTTAAGTCTATACAGACCCAAAGAAAAAAATAAAAAAACAGACAAATTCAGTAGCTCCGTTTGGGAAGTCGGTCAAAAAATTAGTAAGTGGCCTGTATTCTTTTAGACTTTACAATATCCAGATTTGTGAAGCCATTATGGAGATATCTACTAAAATAGACATCCTAACTTTTTTAAAAAAATATTAGGATGATTAACGCATACAGCCACTGATGTACTTGAGAATTTATTTTCACAAAAAAATTATATTGGCATTGAAAATTTAATAACTAAAGCAAATGAACTGATCGAATTTTGATAAAATTAGTAATATGACATGTGGTTTTATATCAGGAAATTGTGGTTAGTCATTATCATTTGAAATTCAATGATAATGTACAAGAAATGACAGCATATTTTCAACTGTAGGCTATTCCAAGGTTTGATTCCCATATATTAAATTAAAAACTTATACCAATTATACAGTGCAACTTTTATTTTAAAAGTAAATGAAAAAGATGCAGGAATGTTTAAAAAAACCCAAAGAGATTATGTATATTCTGCTCTACAACTCCAGGTGAACTTAAGCTGATATCCACCAAAGGTATGGCCATACTAGTAAAACACTAAATATTTTGAAGTTGTAGCAGATTTAGGATTGATTAATGGGGAATATTAAAGGCCTTTAACACTTAAAATAGGAGAAAGTACAAACAATCTCAATTAACAATTCAAGGGGCCGGGCGCCCTAATTTAGTATAGGTTGGTCTGTAAGGTCAGGATTTTTCGCTTGAACGTATTTTTATAATGCACATTAGAATAATTTTCATTGATATTTATTATTATATTATTACTATAAAGTAAGAATTGAAACATTTTGTTTTCAAAACCGCAAAGGTATTTTATTTTCTAAATATTGTAGAATGAATCTCAGGATTTTTTTGACAGCAGCAAAACATGTCAAATTGATTGTTCTGTTAATGTCAAAAGTCGAATTCGTATTTTTTATTGCGTGATAAAAAAATTCTAATTCTCTTTTATTAAAATTCTAAGCGAATAACATCGATTTAATAAAGTAGAAGTTTCTTCAATATCGAGTATTATATGGCTCATACAAAATGATAGCCAGACCTTGGACGGAGGATTTGCCGAAGTGTCAAAATACTTGCGTTGCTTCGTATTTCTCTCAGATAAGTGGAAATGTTAATTCCACCGACGATTACCTTTGCTTCTACTGCCAAACAGAGGATGGATCGTAAGTAATAGAAGATATTACTTGTACAATAGCTAACATACGGTGTTTTCACAGCGACCCAAAGTGGGTTTAGCTGCCCAACTGATAGCGACTCTTCTAATGCCTAGGCATTACTTCTTCTGCCAAATTAATCTGTCCAGTCAACACTAATAAAATATTCAACGTTTTAGTCTATTTTCTATTAAAAAAGTTAACATTTTTTTGTTTCCATGTTACAGGTGTTTGTATGGAGTATTTGAACCACACAATGGCTTGGATGCCGCTAGATTTATTATGCAGCGTATGGCGGTAGAAATGCTGCTACCACCGCCATGTATCAGTAATTCAGATGAAGAGATAAGGGATAGGCTGAGGTAAGTAACTTTTATGCGATTTTGACTTAGACAAGAAATTGTTTTTATCTATGAGAAATGAATTTCTATGGGCCCTATTAACTGAAAACTGGCTCTACCATAAACTTTTGCATTAATGAACATATTTTCCAGGAATGCCTTTGTATCAGTTGAGAAAGCATACATAGAGAACTATGACGGTATGATAGCTGAACGCACTTGCTTGCAGTACAGACTGCAGACATTAAATGAAACACAGGTATTTAAAAACAAGTCATTCCTAATATATTGTACTAGCTTTCACCTGCGACTCTGTCCTGTGGTATTAAAAAAACAAAAGTGAGTAGCCTATGTGTTCTTCCAGGCTATCCTCTATATACCAAATTTCACCGAAATCCGTTCAGCCGTTTAGGCTACAAACTCTAACAAACATCCATCCATCTAAACTTTCGCATTTATAATATTAAGTATGATTGTCTGATAACAATTGAACATGTAAAATAAGTGATGGAAATATCGGATTTTATTCCCTTATCTGACAGTGACAGTTTTAAGCTATCTGAGCCTCTATCAGCCAATAGTGAGACAGGCCCTAAGTGTCGAGATAATTGTTTTTTATGACCCCAAAACTTCTCAATAACTTAAAAATCTCCAAATTAGTATAATTTTTAGAATATCAGGAGAATGAGATAGAACTTTCAGATAAGGGAACAAAATCTGATATTTCCATCACATATTTCACATTGATTGTTAGACAATTTAGTAGGACAGGGTCTTAAAGTATTCTTGTATTTACAGATATCACAGAATTGTGACAATATATTGTCCCGTTTAAAAGAGATTGACCAACATTTGTCCGGAGGTGCTACTGTGGTTATAGCATTGGTGCATAACGGCAAACTGTTTGTGGCCAACGTTGGAGAGACGAGAGCATTACTTTGCCGTACTGATGATAACTCTGTACTCAGAGTTGTGCAATTAACTGTTGATCATAGCTTGAATAATGAAGATGAGTTGCTCCGGCTTTCGCAGTTAGGTCTGGACGTTAATAAATTGAGGAATGGTGAGTTTATTTTGGTGTAATTGATTTAAAAAAGAAATTACTCAATTCTGGGTTTTTTAAGAGATGTAAGATTGATCGCAATTCCATTATATCATTTTCTAATGTTCAAAAATTAACTTATTAAAACTTTCGTGAGACATTATACTATATAAATTATAACACGGCTAAACTCACGTGATAACATTCGGTGTCACTGTGACCGTCGCGACGCGATAGCGAGTATACCCGATTAATCACTCACCCTGAAGAAGGACCCCCAACGGGTTCGAAACTGTCGGTGCCTACACCGAATGTTATCACGTGAGTTTAGCCGTGTTATAATTTATATTTTCAAAAATGTCCATAGTATTCCATAACCTATACTATTATAATAAAGCGTAAACACACACTTCTTTGTTGCCTAAGATGTCAGCAATTACAGCATATTTTTGAATGATTTTTTAATAAAATGCCCTACAGTTACGTCACGCTTTAGGCTATATATTTTCACGCCATTAAACTTAGAGGTAAATATTTTGGATAAAAACCCTAATGTGGGAAAGAGACCACAAGTTGCTGCCAACATCAAGAAAGTAAGATTGCTAAGGTTTGTCATATCATGTCATTTTGACATCTGCTATTGATAATTTGACAAATGTAAACAATAAAATAACATTTTCATAATTCCATGCGGATGAAGCCGCACGGGAACAGCTAGTTAATGTTATAAAAAGGAAATATATGTATTGAAATAACTCAAAGACTATTAATATAATTTTAAAAATTTTTTCACCATTAAAAAGCTATGTTATTCAGTAACATAGCATTTCTATTATTTTAAAATTTTATATAGATGAAGTCGCGAGCAACATCTATTTTTTTATGTGTCTGATTAGGATATATTACCCAAATAACAGGTTATTTTTTTTAATAATAGCTTAACATTCATCATTTAACAGTGGTAGAGCCCGCTTTAACATCTTTGCACGAATGGGCTGGCTTGCCCGGTGTAATACCACGACCACACAGAAAACAGGCGTGAAGTGGAAGCAACTCCGCGTTTCGTCTGATGAGTATGGTGCCGGAGGCCTAATTTTAGTCCCTTTTCCTTTCCACCCTTTTCTTAAGAGGAAAGGATAGGAGGAAAAAGTGGATTTGACGGTGGAGGAGACGCATTGGAATGGGAAATGTCCTCTTTATGTGCGTCTCCTTCGTCAATGAAAGGTAGGCAACGCATCTGCAATTGCGGATGTTTATGGGCAGCGGTCGCTTTCCATTTCGGTGGATTCAGGTGGCCGCTTGCTCGTTTACCACCTAGTAATATAAAAAAAAACATTTAATTTTAATTTCAGTGGGTGTCATGTCATCAAATAGGGTTTTTGTTTTTAAAACATTGTGTTCAAGAATCTATATTAAAATTATAATTAGAAATTATTTGTATTTTTGTATGTATTGATATAACTGAAAAACAACTAGGCTATTTTTAAAAATCCTTTCATTAGAAAGGTAATTTATCTGTGAGTAACATAGATTATATTTTGAATTCCATGTGGATAAAGTTGGGTCAGTAGTTTTTGAGTTATTCCAATACATATAAAAATACAAATCATTCCTGTTTATAATTAGATAAAGATAAAAAAGTTTTTTGTATATGTTTTTAGCACAATACCTAGGCAATCAGTCAGGTACCCGCTGTGTGGGTAACTATTTAGTAAAGGGTCTGTACAAGGCGTTCCCTCACATTGGATGTGCGGCCGCGGAGCCCGTGCTCGCTGCGCCGGAGATACACGGACCTATCGCTCTTGATGAATCATGCAGGTATATACTAATTCTTAAAATTCTTAATCTTACTAATATTATAAATGTTAAAGTTCAGATGGATTGTTAGAGAATGTAGCCTAATTTTCTCAATCTGTGTATTCCTTTCCCTGCAAAGTCCATTATAATTTTTCATGCATCATTATTACTTGATTCATACAAAAAAGTAGCCCTGGGCGAGTTTATGGCGTCTTCCTTAGGTCTTGGGGAGGGAGGTAAACGGTTATGTGAGACTGCAATTCGCAGAATTGTAACGCCCCTCTGTCCAACGCCCTGGGCGGTCGCCCTACCGCCCTACTCTAATACCGGCCCTATATATTACAGATTCCTAGTTCTAGTCAGCGCTGGAGTATACAAACGTATACAAGAAGTCCGAGGCTGCAGCGAACAGACAAACAAACAGCTAGCCCAAATAATAGTAGAGAATTTTAGAAAGCAAACCGATTTCACAAATGTCAGCCATTCAGTACTCGGGGAAATTGAAGATGAATTTCTCACATATTGCAACAAAAATAACCTAACACCGAAAGCAAATACACATGTAACTTTGTTAATAAGAAATTTTAACTTTCTACCGCCAGTTCCTCAGAATGATACCATAAATTTAAGGAATCCCGTCCATAAACAAAACGAACGATCATCTGTACGATTCAATCCGATTGTGCAATCGAAATCGAATACACTTTTAAATGAAATCGATTCGGAAATCGATACATCGGGTACTATCGATATTGCTACGAACGATAGTAATATCGATACTAATCAATCGAATGATTCGGATATATCGAGTTGTAGGCCGTATGATAGAGATAGGAAGATTAAAGGTTATGTTGATTTTACGTGTTATTATGAAAATGTTGCTAAAGCTAGAAAAAATGGTACCTTGCCTGGTTTTATAAAATGATTTTTTTTTATTTATCGTCCTGATTTTTTTATTGTTTAGTAAGCTTTAATCGTATGATTTAAAAACAGTATTGTTTCACGGCTTTTCTTATAAGTGTAAATCGTCATGAGATGTTTATAAAATGTTTTAATAAAGTATTTAAAAATAATGTGGTTTTATTGATATTTTTCCTCTCTTAATTAGGTATTTTTAGTGTTACTTTGTTTTATGTTTTTTTTTTGTATAATACGAGGTGACAAACGAGCAAGCGGCCACCTAAATCCACCGAAATGGAAAGCGACCGCTGCCCATAAACATCCGCAATTGCAGATGCGTTGCCTACCCTAATTGACGGAGGAGGAGACGCACATAAAGAGGACATTTCCCCTTCCTATGCGTCTCCTCCACCGTCAAATCCACTTTTCCCTCCCATCCTTTCCCCTTAAGAAAAGGGTGGAAAGGAAAAGGGACTAAAGTTAGGCCTCCGGCACCACACTCATCAGACGAAACGCGGAATTGCTTCCACTTCACGCCTGTTTTCTGTGTGGTCGTGGTATTACACCGGGCGAGCCGGCCCATTCGCGCGAAGATGTTAAAGCGGGCACTACCACTGTTGAGAGTTATAATTACAATGTTACGGAAACTTATGTAAAATAATTAAATAATATACCCGTATCATCATAGAAGGGTATTTAATCACTTAGTAATACAGCCTCTTCATTTTTATTAGAATAAAAATCTGAGTACATTTAATAATTATTCCTTATTTTATTACTCGCAGGTATTTTTTCATGTGAATCCACTACTGTTCTGTTAAAAGTGGGTTTAAAGCCATTGATCCTAGTTCTGTTTAAGAGTGGTTGTAGTTATACACCACAATTTTAATATAATTTCAAACACTTTAAATTAAATTAAACATTATTAAAAGGATTCAAAATTAAAATTGTTGTTTTTTAACACAAAACATTCTACGTTGGCTGTATGGTTCGTGGTTCTTGGTCGTACAAAAAAAAAAACAACGATTGACATTTATTTTCAGAAACGTCAAACAATTGTTGAAAATCATTTTCGTGGACGAGTATTTTCTTATAAAACTACAAAATGCCTGCTGGTTCGTCCGCTATGGATCCTTTGAGAGAAAAGGCCTTTCAAGATTATAGAAAGAAATTAATGGAACACAAAGAAATCGAGTCTAGACTCAAAGATAGTACGTATCATTTGTGCCGAATCATTGCGTTTTTGTTTCGTATTTTGCATGAATAATATTGATTTCTTGGCAATAATCTGAATTATGAAGTACATTTTAAAGTAATATTTCGTTTAATATCATATTCACTTGAAGTGCGTTACTGTATTGCAAAAAATTACCCGATTTATAATTTTCTCTTTCTAGTGAGAGAACAGTTAAAGGATTTAACAAAACAGTATGATAAGAGTGAAAATGACCTGAAAGCTCTTCAGAGTGTTGGTCAAATTGTGGGTGAAGTTCTGAAACAATTAACTGAGGAGAAATGTAAGTACATAAATAAATATCTAATCTATTATTATACTAATATAATAAAACACAGACTTCTTTGTTATATCGGATGTCAGCAATCAACATATCAATGATGTACATATCCAATGAAAAAGACCCATTTTTTGTTTCTTCCCAGTTATTGTGAAGGCAACAAATGGTCCACGTTATGTGGTGGGTTGCCGCAGACAGCTGGACAAGAACAAGCTGAAGGGAGGCACGCGAGTGGCACTGGATATGACCACTCTTACTATCATGCGTCATCTGCCTAGAGAGGTTAGTAAACTAGGTTATGCACTAGCAGCTAGTTAGCTTGTAGCTTATGTTGAATAGCTTGGATATTTAATAAATCCAGTCTATTTCAATTGTTGAACTATGTTCATCATCATCATCAACACCAGTTCATTATATTTCCCCATCAAGGGGTTTGGAGCCTACCCTAAGTTAGGGTGACTACATTATCTAGGAGTTAATTCCATGACTATTCTGTTAGGTAAATGTTAGTGTGGTATGGACATATAAAGAGAGGATGATGACATGAAAAATAAAGTGTTAAGACTGAATATGGGCTACAAAGGAACTCAACAAAGATAGTATTTTTTTTAATGATATAAGGTTGCAAACAAGCAAGCGGCCACCTCAATCCACCAAAATGGAAAGTAACCATTGCCTATAAACATCTGCAATTGCAGATGTTTTGCCTACCCTTCATTGACGGAGGAGACGCACATAAAGAGGACATTTCCACTTTTCCTTCCTATCCCTTCCTCTTAAGAAAAGGGTGGAATGGAAAGAGACTAAAATTAGACCTGCATCACACTCATCAGACGAAACATGTAATTGCTTCCACTTCATGCCTGTTTTCTGTGTGGTCGTGGTATTACACCGGGTGAGCTGGCCTGTTCATACGAAGATGTTAAAGTGGGCTCTACCACTGTTAAACTATAGATTGTGTTAAAGATAAAGAAGTAAATTCAGACATGACTGATAGTGTATGGAAGTTTTAACAGTAGTAGTGCCCGCTTTAACATCTTAGCACGAATGGGCCGGGTGTAATACCACGACCACACAGAAGACAGGCGTGAAATGGAAGCAATTCCGTGTTTCGTCTGATGAGTGTGGTGCCGGAGGCCTAATTTAAGTCCCTTTCTCTTTACCACCGTTTTCTTATATGGAGAGGATGGGAAGGGGAAGTGGATTTGACGGTGGAGGTGATGCATAGGAAGGGGCAATATCCTCTTTATGTGCGTCTCCTCCGTCAGATAAGGGTAGGCAACACATCTGCGACCGCGGATGTCTATGGGACAGCGGTCGCTTCGCCATTTTGGCGACTTCAGGTGGCCAATTGCTCGTTTGCCACCTTTTGTTATTAAAAAAAAAAAAAAGATTATATTGTACCAACCCTATGTAACAAGGGCAAGCTAATATTGACTGCTTTGTTAGAAAGCTTCCTTTTATATGTGATGTTAAAACAACCTCTATTTTTAAAACTTCACTGAACCTCTTTTCAGTGTAGATTAGTTTTGTTATCTCTTGTTTTTAGGTTGATCCTTTGGTGTACAATATGAGCCATGAAGACCCAGGAGATGTGACTTACTCTGCTATTGGTGGTCTGCAAGAACAGATCCGACAGTTGAGAGAAGTAAGTAATATAACGAAAGAAAGTTATTCCGCATTAAATGAAAATAGAATCACATAAATTGGAACATTATAATTAGCAATTATAGCATATTTTTGAATGATACTTTTTTTAATAAAAAGTTCTACACTCACTTCACGCTTTAGACTATATATTTACACGCCATTAAACATAGGGGGTTAATATTTTGGATAAAAACCCTAACGTGGGAAAAAGACTACAAGTTGCTGCCAACATCAAGGAAGCAAGGTTGCCATGGTTTGACATCATGTCATATCATTTTGACATTTGCAATTGATAATTTGACAAATTTGAACAATAAAATGAAATTTTTATAATTTCATGCGGATGAAGTCGCATGGGAACAGCTAGTTTATAATATCAGTAAGATGTTTAGAAAACAATTGTGTTTCCAGGTAATAGAGTTGCCATTAATGAACCCAGAGTTGTTCCTGCGAGTTGGGATCACCCCGCCCAAGGGCTGCTTGTTGTACGGACCTCCGGGGACTGGGAAAACTTTGCTGGCGAGAGCCGTCGCTTCACAACTTGATGCTAACTTCTTGAAGGTCAGTCAAGTTCTAATAGTTGATGTTTTAATTATGATTTTTTAACGCCGTGGTCCAGTATTTGTTGTTTATCAATAGTTCCTGGACATTAGTAATAATAAAATAGTCTATGTTACTCACAGATGAATTTCTTTTCTGTGAGTAACATAGACTGAATGAATTTTTAAAATCTACAAAAATACAAATCTTTCCTCTTTATAATATCAGTATAGATTGTTGAAGGTTTTATACTTTTGCTATTGTTAAAACTATTTTTATTGTATATTCTTTGGTTCTTTGGCATTCTTTGGGTTCTTTGGTTTTTAAATTAAAAGATTATTTTCATCTCATTTTTATGGAATTATTGATTATTACAATTGTGTACTAAATTAAACTTATTCAGTTATACTATTTTTTAGACTTGAATCTATACTTCTATACTATTATAATAAAGCGTAAACACACACTTCTTTGTTGCCTAACATGTCAGCAATTACAGCACTTTTTGAATAATTCTTTTTTTAATAAAAAGTCCTACACTTACGTCACGCTTTAGGCTAATATTTTAACCTTAGGGGGTAAATATTTTAAATAAAATTCCTAATGTGGGAAAGAGACCATAAGTTGCTGCCAACATCAAGAAAGCAAGATTAATTTGACAAATGAAAACAATAAAATAGAATTTTCATAATTTCATGCGGATGAAGCCGCGTGGGAACAGCTAGTTTTATCTAAGGTAAAGCAAGTTTGGGAATTTCCAGTCAACGATGGGGGTGGGGGGGCTAGTAGTAAAATATGAATATTTCATTCCCAGGGAATTAAAAAAACACTTAGTAGCCAATGTTCTTCCAGACTACATTTTATATATCTTTCCAAATATCAGTGAGTTAATTAAACCGTTCTAGAGATATGTAGTAAGAAACATCCATCCATTCGCATTTACATCACCAGCTTCACTATATGTCCCCACCGAGGGGCTCGGAGCCTACCCTAAAGTTACGGTGACTA